CTCTCTTGTCTCTCTCTCTCTCTGTGTTTCTCTCTCTCTCTCTCCATCTCTGTCTCTGTCTTTAGAACCATCAATGGAAGAGGTTGCTGTGGAATACAAAATTATCAACCCGAAAGCGATCACCATGGGGCAACTGTATGGCTGTTTTGATCCCGTTAGCCACGAATGGACAGACGGCGTTCTTGCAAACACTTTCAGAGAACAGGCCTCTTCCACCAACGAGGACAGAAAGTGGATTGTTTTTGACGGGCCGGTCGATGCTGTTTGGATTGAAAACATGAACACTGTTTTAGATGATAACAAGAAGGTAATTGGCAGTTTTCCCCCCAGTGCTGACATAAGCTTCTAGGTTGCATTATCTAATTAGGTTGAATAACTGAAAGTGCTTTTTAGAAGCCAATAAGCTAATTTGATTTAAAGCAAAAAGCACTCAGCATGTGCTGTTTGGCTGTTTTTACAAATAGATGATTATGGTAACTTTTTATGCTGTTTTCCCACTAAAAGCAGTGAACCACTTTATTAAATGGACTTTTTAAAAAAATTTAGGGTATGCATATAGACACACACTGACAAGACACATACAAACACAAGTAGACACATATACACAGAAATGGCACTTCCCATTATTGGCAAAACTGGGCCCTAGCAAGCGATGGCTTCGACTTACAACCACAGCTGGGAGTAGAATCTCCCTTGCTAAGTGAGTCACACCTGATTTTATGACCTTTTTTTCTGCCACAGTTGTTAAGCGAATCCCAGCAGTCGTTAACCTATCATGTGGACGTTAAGCGAATCCGGCTTCCCTCCCGCATGGGCTTTCCTTTTCAGATGGCACCTTGGAAGGTCGCAAATGGGGATCCCATGACCCTGGGACACTGCACTTGTCGCAAACACATGCTGGTTGCTAAGCAACCACGTTTTGATCACATGACGATGCGGATACTGCAAGTGTTGTGGTCATAAGTCCCGTTTTTCAGCACCGTTGTAACTTCGAACAGCCGCTGAATGAATGGTTGCAAGTCAAGGACTACCTGTATGGACTCTACATTTTAAAAAATTATGATTCTAGGAAAATGAAAAACTAATTTGTGGACATAAATGGTTCTGAGGAAGAAGTTCCAGCTGCTGAGTTAATCTTCACCATGCTAGTTTATTCAAATACCGAATGACATGGGGAAGCTATAACAAAAGGGGCACAATGGCTCAGTGGTTAAAGACACCAGGCTTGTCAGCTGGAAAAGTGACAGCCCGGGTTCGAGACCCCAGCGCTGTGTGACGGGGTGAACTCCCTTCCGTTTCCCAGCTCCTGCCAACCTAGCAGTTTGCAAGCATGCCAATGCGAGTAGATGAATAGGTACCACTTTGGTGGGAAAGTAACAGCTTTCTGTGCGCCTCAGTGTATCCCGGCCACATGACCACCGAAAAATGTCTTTGCACAACTCCAAAGACAGGGGAGAACCTTTACCTTAAGCTACAGCAGAAATAGTTGAGTGACAGGAGAGGTCTGTTGCAATCTCTTCCGCATGACTGGACTGAAGTAGCTTTTCCTCTGTTTCCCTTAAAGTTGTGCTTGATGAGCGGAGAGATCATTCAGATGAGCGCACAAATGAGCCTTATCTTTGAGCCCGAAGATCTTGAACAAGCTTCTCCAGCAACGGTTAGCAGGTAAATCCGGCCAGCTGAATTCTTAGGGTCAGAATCATAGTCCAATGTTTTGACCAAGGCTTCCCAAGACTGTAATTAAGCACACACTTACTTAAAACAACTCTTGTTTTATTTCAACGCTGGGAATTATTTTCATTCCCAGCCAGTAATGAGTCCCAAACAGTCCCTCGAGATAAGCACCCACCTTTCTCTCCTTTGAAGTGCCGCCAATAACTAGAGTGCCAAATGAACTATAAAAAAACCAACCGAAATACAAAGTCCACACAGAGCTTCAAGGATTAATCCGAACAGAACAAATGACTTTTGCTTCCTACAAAGGTTTATCTACCTTTGCACTTCCTTTACACCTTATGGGAGGGCCAATCACCTCCCAGCCTTATTCCCAAGTCGCCCCTTTTGTCTCAGCTGCTCTTGCCTTCTAGCAGCTCTGCGCATACACGCTCACTGGGAACAGGCTCCCCTTGTTCCTCTGCCTCACTGCTGACAGACTCCGAAGGCTCCGGAGTCAGCACCCCACTCCCAGATGGTCCTGGCCCCATCTCTGCATCGGATGCAGAGCCCTGGTCCCAGTCCTCTCCAGACTCCCTGACTGGTCCCCGTTCTTCCCCACTATCCGATTCCGCTGCCGTCTGCACAGGCTGCTGGTGAACTGCAACATCCAATCCTCCGTCCATGGCAGGAGATCGTGGACAAATGGCTGCCAGTCTTTTCCTGAAGGCCTTATTTCTTTTTCTCCTCTTAACTAGCCAATCTGTGCGATTCAATCCTCTTCATTTCTTCAAGGTGTGGCATGATTTATATGGAGCCTCATCAGCTGGGCTGGAAACCTTTGAAAGATTCTTATCTGAACAAGCTGCCTTCAAATCTACACGACGTGCACATAGAATTGGTGGGCTGGCCTTCATTTTATTTTCATACTCAATAATTTAATATTACTGAGGAGGGGGGAATTTAAATTTAAAGTTCAGGTGTATCCTATTGGGTTTATTTACATTTATTAGTGCCCAGATTCCTTGAGAGTCACTTGAGGGGTTACTTGGGAACTGTGGAAATAAACCGTGCCAATAACTTGCGGATTTTTCAATAACTAGTTTGTGAAGTGAGTTCAGGATGCTTTCCTTTATCGTGTAGAACCTTTCTAAAGCTTTAATGGTTTGGAAAGTTTTCAACCAGGGGTGGGATTCTACCTGGTCGGACCAGTTCTATAGAACCGGTTGTTATGATTCTGCGTAGTCCAGAGAACTGGCAAATCACACCACTGACTGGCCCTGCCCCACCCACTCACTCACTCTTTACTGGCATGCGCACCATCAAATTTGCCCACATTTGGTAAGTTGCTATTTTTTCTTTTTTTTTTCCTGACCATCAGCTGTTCTGCTGTGCCAGGAGATTTAGATTAGCTAGAAAGCAGGAAATCATTGGATTTCTTGGTTTCTAGCTAATCTAAAAGCAGAGCTGAGCCTTCCTTAGGACTGAAGCTTCTATTTTTCAGTGCAAACTCAGGTAGCAGATTACAGAATGATAGATCTCTGAATGAATCTGTGATTCTGTGAGCAACTCAGTCTGCCTGCCTGCTTTGCCTGCTTTTGAGTAAAAGTTACTCTTTTTTAGAAAAAAATTAATATTTACATCAATATTTATAATATTTACATACAAGCCACGCCCAGCCAGTCATATGACCACCAAGCCATGCCCAATCAGCAAGCCACGCCCACCCAAGCCACATCCACAAATTATGTCACACCCACAGAACTGGTTGTGAAAAAATTTGAATCCCACCCCTGTTTTCAACACTACTGTACAATTTTTATGACAGGGGGACATTGTAATAAAATTATCTAAAAATGCCTGAGGTGTCACGAGATTGCGGGTCTGGCTAGATGAGGAATCACACCAGGTATAGCTCCAAAGCCCTTTGAAACTTCATCTCATCTATAAACACTGAGAAAGTTTAGAGTATCCTTAAATCTCGACTGGTTTCTTGTGCTAAGCTAATCCAAACTTACACGTCAGATCCCATCCACCACTGCCAGAATATCCGCAGTCCAAGACTCTCTTCCTCCTTCCGTCGGCTGAGGATGGGATCTATTACCTATTCAGTGTAAAAGGGGGCGTGTCCTGTGATTCGGTCAACCTCTCAAGGTGGTTTGTTTTCCAGGTTGAGGACCTTTTTATGTGGCTCGTTCAGCCATCGTTGGAATTTATTCGCCACCATTGCAAAGTCTTGGTTCAGACCTCTCCCATCCATCTGACCCACACCATGATCATGTTGTTTGATTCTTTGCTGGGTAAGTCATAGTCTGTGCTTTGTGGCATCTCAAAACTGAAGGATTATTTTATATTTTTTTTACTTTACTTTACTTTTTACTTTTTACTTTACTTTTTACTTTACTTTTTACTTTTTACTTTACTTTACTTTTTACTTCAATTTTTATTTCACTTCACTTCTATTCTATTTTTCTTTATTCATTTCATTTCATTTATTTATTTTATGTTGTAATTGTATTGTATTTATTTTTTATTTATATCCCACCATTATTATTTTTTACAAATAACTCAAAGCAGCAAACATATCCAACATACCTTCCCTTTCCTCTTTTCCCCATAACAATGACCCTGTGAGGTGGGTTGGGCTGAGAGGCAGCAAATGGCCCCAACTCACCCAGGTGGCTTTCATACTCAAGGCAGGACTAGAACTCACCGTCTCCTGGTGATTGGCCCCAAATCACCCAGTTGGGTTTCATGCGGGACTAGAACTCCTAGTGATTGGCCTAAAGTCACCCAGATGTCTTTCATGGCTAAGGCAGGACCAGAACCCACCATCACCTGGTGACTGGCCCAAGGTTACCCAGCCGGCTTTCATGCCTATGGTGGGACTAGAACTCACTGTCACCTAGTTTCTAGCCTGGTGCTTTCACCACTAGACCAAATTGGCTAATTGTATGACAGCTCTGAAAGCAAGAAGCGCCACCAAAGGATGCATTGGCCCTTGGGGCCCTAACATGCTTAGGCAGTGTTTCTCAACCTTGGTAACTTTTAAGATGCGTCCACTTCAACTCGCAGAATTCCCCTGCCAGAAATGGGGCTCTGTGTATGCTGGAAGTGTGTAAGCTTTCCTCATCTCCCACTTTTCTCTTTTTGGTTGATCTCGTCTTCTTTTGTGTAGATGAAATCAGGAATTCCAACGAGGAGGAACCAGGAGAGGCCATGTCCAGCCAGCAGATAACCTTGTGGCTCCAAGGCCTCTTCCTCTTCTCTCTGGTGTGGACCATCGGGAGTACGGTGAATGCCGAAGGACGGAAGAAATTTGACCATTTTTACCGGAACCTCTTGATGGGAATGGATGACGAGAACCCTCGTCCCAAAAGCGTGAAGCTAACCAAAACCAATCTCTTTCCAGAAAGAGGTGCGACTGGGAAACCCACCATTTAAAAAGGGATTGAGTTGGAAAAGACGTCATCAACTTTTCAGAGTGGGGAGGGTTGCAGTTCGGAATAACTGAGATGGGAGGGACCTCTGAGGTCTTCTAGTCCAACCCTCTGCTCAAGCAGGAGACCCTATACCGTTCCACACAAAAGACTGTCCAATTTCTTCTTCAAAACTTCCAGTGATGGAGCATCCACAACTTCTGGAGACAAGCTGTTCTACTGGTTTATGGTTCTCACGGTTGGGAAATTCCTCCTTAGTTCTTGGTTGCTTCTCTCCTTGATAAGTTTCCACCCCTTGCTTCTTGTTCTGCCCTCAGGAGCTTTGGAGAATAGCTTGACCCCCTTTTCCTTCTGGAAAGAGCAAAATTCCAGGAGTGATCCACTATGGCTCTAATCATTAATTAGATATTCAAACTTGATTTAAAGTTTTTCAAACCAAATAGTGGTTCTAGCTTGGCTTGGCCCTCTTCTCCTTGTTCCCTTCTCCACCATCTTAGATATGAACCCAGGGAGGCCCTTCAAAGTTGGCTGTGATTTTGACAGTATTTTGGGTTTGGAGTCAGTAGTATCCACACATGATAACACTCTGTGTCCATTTTGCTGTTTTTGACAAGCTTCTTAAAAGGCTTTTTATCCCTCTTTTGCAATCAGGGTCTGTGTATGACTTTTATTTTCATAAACAAGCCAGTGGACAGTGGAACATGTGGACAGAGTATATCACGAAGGAGGAGCAAGCAATTTCTGCCAGCACAAAGGTAAAACGGTTGTGCTTGTTTGTCAGCGTGATCAGGAAATACTGATCATCTGATCTTTATTTAAGTAATTCATCCATTTCACTCCTCATCCAGAAAGCTTCCCAGCATCATCCTCTTTTAATGTTTCCACACCTTGCGAGGTTGAGTCTGGGCTAGTGGCCAGATGCCCTTCCTGTCGCCACTGTGGAGTTTTGTTCAGCAGATATATTCCCATTGTGCCCAGAGAGTGAAATATCTGCCTCTACCTAGGATCGAACTCACAGCCTCCTGATTGTGAGGCGAGAGTTCCACCTCTAGGCCACCGCACCACTCAGAAAGCTTCCCAGCATGACTTATATAAATCAATGGGGGAAAAAAAAATCTGTTCCTTTCCTCAGGTTTGAGATCTAAAAAGATCACAACAAAAGAGGAAAATAAGTTGGGGAGGGCAAAGGAAAATGAATGTGTTTTTCAATCTTGCAAAGATCTTAATATTGGTACAACCTGGTGAAATGCTGGGTGATTATTGGGGGTGAAGGGAAGATGAGAGAACCTGGGATCCCGTCCCTTTTTCTGATGGAGCCTGCATCCCATTAAATGTAGGAGCAGAGAGTATATATCTGCTGGCATGGACCTTGCTGAAAGTGATAGCCTTTGGAAGTGTTTCTACCAGTATAACCTGGAAACATGTCCCCTAGGGATGAAATTACTCCATGTCAGGCCCCAAGAACCAAGAAAGACATGTGGAATTCCTTCTGAGCAGTTTCCTTTATTGTTCTTCACTGATAGACAGAATCTTGCCAAACTAAAGCAGATGATTAGCACTCTATAACATATACTCTGGGAACTATTAGAAAGGAACCGTCTTAATTCTCTTCCTCACAAGCAGACTATCTAAACTTCGCTGTTTCTTGGTCCTCTGCAGCTCCTCCCTCCTGGGAATCTAGACTACATTCCACCACACTAAACCCATCCTCACTCTTCTCCTGCGCCACACCCAAGTTCTATATAGACCCCGGGACCATTCGACAGCATCTCATCACTACACTAAGCCATCTTAGTCCCAAAGGTGCTTTTTCCAAAAGGCAACTGGACTTTCTTGGTATTTTTTTTCCTGAGCATCTGAATCCTCTCTCATCATCATCCTAGGTCTCCGAACTGATCATCCCCACCACAGAAACTGCCCGGCAGTCCTTTTTCCTCAAAACCTACGTGGAGCATGAGGTCCCCCTGCTGTTTGTGGGACCCACCGGGACCGGGAAATCGGCCATCACGAACAGCTTCCTGATCCAGCTTCCCAAGGCCAAATATGTACCAAACGTCATCAATTTCTCTGCCAGGACCTCTGCCAATCAAACTCAGGATATTATCATGTCAAAGCTGGACCGAAGACGGAAGGGACTGTTTGGTCCCACCTTAGGGAAAAAAGCTATCGTCTTTGTAGGTGAGAGAAGAAGCCTTATCTTTTCGGCTGTTTCTTTCAGATTTGGGACATTCTAGATTCCCACGTCTTTCCTGAGCTGTGTTTAGTTTCATCCTTGGTTGGTAAAGTCTGGGTTGTAGAAACCGCAAACCGTGGCTTGCAGAAGTCAGTGGCTGGATTCACCCCCTGGTGCTAAGCTATAAGCCACAGCTGAGCTGAAAAAAAATAATTATATGTAATAGGTTCTGTGTCGCTAGCATGAAAAGCTAAAATATTTCAAACTTGTGTTAATCAAGTGGCGAAGAATATAAATTACGAAATGCAGTCTTCCTCATTTCTAGAAATCATTTTTTTTCCTTTCCTTTTTCCTTTTTTCCTTCCCCACTGATTAATATCAGCAATCTTGATGTTCCTTAAAAAAAAAAATCCATCGCATCGTTGCTCTTCTTTGGATATCTAAAATTTATCATTTATTTATTGAATTTATACACTGCCACTCTTGCTATCCAGCACTCTGGCTGGCTTACAGCAGGGTAAAACATTAAAAACCTTAAAACGATAAATATTAACGTTCAGAATGATCAGAAATTAACTAAGGAAGGAACAAGTATACAACCGGGTGGAAGTGGATTTTTCTGTTAATCCACTATGCCTCAATAAATACATTGATAAAATATATCGATACACAGTAAGTTTATCAATCAATATCCTTCCTAAATGTGTCTAAAACCTCTCTGTATTTCACTTAAATGTATCAGCCTTCTTCCTACCTGTGTGAAAATAATACCTAGGTTTTCCCGTCTGTCTTGAGCATAACCGTATTTTTCCTAGATGACTTAAACATGCCAGCCAAGGAAATATATGGGGCTCAACCCCCAATTGAACTCCTTCGGCAATGGATGAACCACGGCCACTGGTATGATAAGAAAGATACCACAAGGTTGGACATTGTAGACGTCCTCTTCCTTTCGGCCATGGGCCCTCCCGGTGGTGGAAGAAATGATATTACAGGTAGGGAGTGTGCTTCAAACTCAAGAAGATATGGTTGGTCGAATTAGGGTTTATTTATTTATTTAATTGATTTGTCAATCGCTTACAAGATAATAGGCATAAGTATAAACATAGTTATGAATACATGAAATAGATACATATAAGAAAAATAAAAAGAATCAATAGGACAGGCATGGTAGACACAATGGTGCGCTTCTGCATGCCCCCTACAGACCTCTTAGGAAAGGGGTGAGGTCAATAGTAGACAGTCTAAGGTTAAAGTTTTTGGGGTTTGGGGAAGAAACCACAGAGTCAGGTAGAGTATTCCAGGCATCGGCCACTCTGTGGCTGAAGTCGTATTTCCTGCAATCAAGTTTGGTGCGGTTAACCTTGAGTTTGTATCTATTGTTTGCTCTTGTGATGTTATGGCTGAAGCTGAAGTATTCATTGACAGGTCTAGACATACCTAGAACAGAGATCCCTTCCAACTCTATTATTCTATGTTCTAGCACCAACTTTAGTTGGTGGCTGACCACAGGATTTCTAGCCAAAATGAGAAGGAAATCCTATACCATTCTGGACAAATGGTTGTCCAGTTTCTTCTTGAAAATCTCCAGTGATGGAGCACCCGCAACTTCCGGAGGGAAGTCATTCCACAGATTAATTGTTCTCATGGACAGAAAATTTCTGCGTATTTCTAGGTTGCTTCTCTCCTTGATTAGTTGCTTCTTATCTTGCGTTCAGGTGCTGTGGAGAATAGGTTGACCCCGCTCTTCTCTGTGACGGTTCCTCAAATATTGGAAAACTTCTATCATGTCACCCCTAGTCCTTCTCTAGAAATGCGCTTGCTTAGACCCATACTTTGTTAGACCACACCTGGACTTCTTGTTACTATCCTCACAAGAATTGGCTGCGCTGCTTTGGAACTAAGGGCCGTGGGCTACAAGAGTTCTCAAGCTTCATTGGTATGGCCCCCTAAGTCATCAGGTGCAGAGATCACCTGGGACCTGTGGAGGGACAACTGTAGTCTAAGAAGAGCTTGCCAGTAGTCTCAGATATCTGCCTAACGTGACCTAGAGGGAGACGCAGAGTGTTCAATGACCCTGTGATCTTCTCCTCTCCTTGCATCTCCAGGGCGCTTCGTGCGACATCTCAACATCATCTCTATCAGCTCTTTCGATGATGAAGTTTTAACCAAGATTTTCACTTCCATCGTAGACTGGCATTTCGGCAAGGGCTTTGAGGCCACATTTTTAAGGTGAACGTCTCCTTTCTGACTTATGTTGCTGGATCCATGGCTTGATGTTCTGCTGACTCATAATCGCCTCTCTTTTTGGCTCTTTTGTGTTTTTTTTTGAAAGGCTTGGCAAAATGCTGGTTCACGCGACCATGAATATCTACAAGATGGCCATGGAGAACTTCCTCCCCACCCCTTCGAAGTCTCACTACGTCTTTAATCTACGTGATTTCTCCCGTGTGATTCGAGGGGTGTTGCTATGCCCGCATACACATTTACAGGTGTGTGTTTTTATGTTATTTATTTGTTTTGTCAATCGCTTACAAGATAGTAGGTGTAAGTATAAACATGAGTAAGGAAATAGGTACGAATAAATGGGGAAAATAGAACAGGGACAGTAGGCACGATGGTGCGCTTACGCACGCCCCTTACAGACCTCTTAGGAATGGGGTGAGGTCAATAGTGGATAGTTTAAGGTTAAAGGAGTGGGGGTTAGAGGATGTAACAACATAGTCAGGTAGTGCATTCCAGCATTGACCACTCTACGTACTTTCTGCAATCAAGTTTGGAGCGGTTTACCTTGAGTTTGTATCTGTTGCGTGCTCTTGTATTGTTGCGGTTGAAGCTGAAATAGTCATTAACTGGCAGGAGAACTAGTGTTCTTCTTCTCCTTCTCCTTCCCCTTCTCCTTCTTCTCCCCTCCCTCCTTCTCCTTTTCCTTCTCTTTTATCACTTTGGATGTCAAGGGACATACGAAGTTCTGGTTCTTGCACTTCTGGTGGCCTCCACCATTGTTATTTGACACAGTTGTAGCATGTCTTTGATGTTGTCTTTCCATCTTCTGAGTCTGCCTTGTATCCTTTGGCCTCCTCCTCTGTTTGTGTATCCCTGGTATGGTATAGAGTTCCAAAACACAGTAAGAGAAGTTTCTGACGTTTTTGTTTTTATAACAGACATAAAACCAATGTTAGGGCTTCCTGCCTCAAAGGGATAGGTAAGCACCTTGCGACTTTTGTGTGGTTTGGGGTTAGAGGAAATTTGGGGCACCGTAGAAAATTGCTTCCATGACTTTGGGCCTGGAGTAGCTCAGCGTTGTTTCATAACATTTACTAAAGACATTCTGATGGATCAAAGCAGTGATGTAGGAGGTGAGCAGCCTGAGCTGGAGGGCGGAGTTAAATATGTCATTAGTTTGGAGTCACTGAACCCAACAGATGCTCCTGATTATTTGCATGTGCCAAGTAAACCAAGACGATGTCTTTGTATCTGTCTCCTCTGTCCCCAATTTGATCTTACAATTTTTTGGAATACCCTTCCTGTTCTTCCTTTCGTTTGGCAGGATGCAGAAAAACTGATCAGGCTTTGGATTCATGAAGTTTATCGAGTCTTTTATGACCGCTTGATTGATGCCAACGACAGAGAAGTGTTTTTTAATATGATGAAAGAAACGACCTCCGACTGTTTTAAGCAGAGTGTCGATAAGGTGGGCCTTTTAAAGCAGAGACAGTTGTTGGGGTGGTTGCACAAATGAGAAGTGGCAACCCAGGAGGTATAGGTAGTCCTTGACCCCCAGCCACAGTTGAGACCAGAATCTCCACTGTTAAGCAAGGAGGTTGTTAAGTGAGTCCCACAACCTTTTTTTTGACATGGTTGTTAAATGAGTCACTGCAGATAAGTGAATCATGTGATTATTAAGCAAATCTGGTTTCCCTCCATTGACTTTACTTGTTAGAAACCAGTTGGAGAGGTCACAAGTAGAGATCACATGACCCCAGGATGCTCCAACTATCCTAAACACATGCCTCCTTCCCCTCTCTCACACACACACATGCGCAGAGGTTGGATCTTTCTTTCCCCCTGGCCCATACAGGCAACAACCATGCAAGTGACATAGAGTTGGCCACGCCCACCCAGTCAGGTGACCACCAAGTCACGCCCAGCCAGTCAGGTGACCAAGTCAGGCCCAGCCAGTCACATGACCACCAAGTCCATGCCCAGCCAGCAAGCCACACCCACTCAGTCACATGACCACCAAACCACACCCACAAATTAAGCCATGCCCACAGAACCGGTTGTTAAGAAATTTGAATCCCACCCCTGGGATGCTCCTGTCAGTTGTAAGGAAGAGGATTGGTTGCAGGTCACTTTTTTCCCAGTGCTGTTGTAACTTTGGCCACTGAACGAGTGGGTTGTAAGTCGAGGATTACCTGTAATGTAATGCAGACATCTACATGGGTAAAATAATGGGATGCACCATTAGGAGTGAAGTTTTTCTGCTGAAAAAAGGCAGATCTTTGTGGCTTTACAGATGGGACGGTAGGAAGAGGGAAACACTATAGATTATAGAGGGGAATTTATTTCACAGAGATGGTCCCACAGTTGAGAAGGCTTAGGGTCAAAGATTACTTCAAGAATAGGAGTGAAGTTTTCTGGTTCTCCTTGTGGAGGGAGAAGACACCTCCACCATATACAGATGAGATTCTAACCCTAACCTTTGAGACGTTCCCCACCCCGTGTAAACTGTTCCTATGAGAAAAACAAGTCCAATTGATCTAGGATCCTCTTCTACCTCTTCCCCAGGTACTAAGCCATCTGTCAAAATCTGGCAAAATCACAGATAACAACATTCGGAGTCTCTTCTTTGGAGACTATTTTAAGCCGTCCAGTGACAAGAAGATATACGACGAGATCACGGATTTGCACAAGCTGACGTCGGTCATGGAGTACTACCTGGAGGAATTCAACAACATCAGCAAGGCTCCCATGCCTTTGGTGATGTTTAAGTTTGCCATCGAGCACATTTCCCGCATCTGCCGCGTCCTGAAGCAAGACAATGGCCATCTGCTGCTGGTGGGCATCGGCGGGAGCGGCCGTCAGAGTGCCACCAAGCTGGGCACCTTCATGAACTCTTATGAGCTCTTCATGATTGAGATCACCAAGTTCTACACCATGAACGAATGGAGAGAGGACGTTAAGAAGGTCATGTTGCAATCGGGCGTGGCCAACAAGAGCACGGTCTTCTTGTTCTGCGACAACCAGATCAAAGACGAGTCTTTTGTGGAGGACATCAACATGCTTCTGAACACGGGGGATGTGCCTAACATTTTTGCAGCGGACGAGAAGGCGGACATTGTGGAGAAAATGCAGAGCGCAGCGAGGACGGAAGGGAGGAGAATCGAAGCCACCCCTTTGGCCATGTATAACTTTTTCATTGAGCGGGTGAAGAAAAATCTACACATTGTTCTAGGTATGTCTAGATCTAGAGCCTTTTGATTCAACCCGTTCTAGGTATGACTAAGTCTACAGCTTTTGATTCAGCAGCTTAAGAAAGATCTACACATTGTTCTAGGTATGGCTAGCTCTAGAGCCTTTTGATTCAACACCTTGAGAAAAATCTATCCATTGTTCTAGGTATGACTAGGTCTACAGCTTTTGATTCAGCAGCTTAAGAAAGATCTACACATTGTTCTAGGTCTGTCTAGATCTACAGCTTTTGAATCAGCAGCTCGAGAAAAATATACATTGTTCTTGGTATGGCTAGTTCTAGGGCTTTTTGATGAAGCATCTCAAGAAAAATCTAGATATATACTTAGGTCTTGGACATTTTGACTGAGCATTTCAAGAATTTTTTTTTTTAATTGAGTGTATGAAATAAAAAGATATTCAGATAGGGTTAAACCTTGTCACTTGTTTGTTGAGCACATTTTGGAAAATGAATAGAATAGAATAGAATAGAATAGAATAGAATAGAATAGAATAGAATAGAATAGAATAACAGAGTTGGAAGGAACCTTGGAGGTCTTCTAGTCCAACCCTGTGCCTAGGCAGGAAACCCTACACCACTTCAGACAAAGGGTTATCCAACATCTTTTTAAAAACTTCCAGTGTTGGAGCATTCACTGATTAATTGTTCTAACAGTCAGACTGTGTTTGACAATGTGGCAAATGTTGGATAAGTTAAACCATGGGTTCCTTAAGTATGAAGCTCTTCCTTTTTCAGCCTAATTTCTGTAAATGTGACCAGGTTGAGGTCTTGTGATCTAACACCTAACAGCCAACATTAGATCAGGAATCGTGCTAATAATGGACTCAGGAGATCTGAGAAATGATCATCATCTCTTTTTCAGCAATGAGCCCCATTGGAGATGCATTCCGGAATCGTTTACGGATGTTCCCATCACTGATCAATTGTTGCACTATCGATTGGTTCCAGAGATGGCCCACAGATGCTCTGGAAATGGTTGCCAACAAATTCTTAGAGGATGTGAAGCTGGAAGACGAAATAAGAAAATCGTGCGTTAAAAAATAGAGTTGTTTTCTCTTTCCCTTCCTCTTTTCTTCTTCGATTAACTTGCTTTTTAGGATACACATGCTTGCAATGCAAATTAATAATGTTTTCTAATTAGTATGCAAAAGATGAAGCTGTAAAAACAATTGGCAACCTTTGCCACATAACTCATAACAGCAGCAAAATGGCTGAAGGACACAGAATCACGGTTAAAAGTTCAGGGCCGTTAAATGATCCACGTTCAGACTGGAATAAATAAGTTCAAAGCTTATCATAAATGACAGCCAAATGCAGACCTGTGTGCTTAATGATAATGATTGAGTCCTTTAATGATGAGGAATGTCATTTATAATAACCATGGAGTCCCTTGCCCATTTTAGTATCGTAAGTATTTTTTTACAGTTGATTCTTGGTGCATATTCACTCAAAATGACTTTGCCAGTTTGGTTTAATCGTACTTTAACTATGAACCCTGCCCACACCTCCTAAATCAATACAGGTAGTCCTTGACTTACAGCCATTCATTTAGTGACTGTTCAAAGTTACAGTGACACCGAAAAAAGTGACCAATAGTCATAGTTTACCCTTACAACCATTGTACCATCCCTGTGGTCACATGATCAAAATTCAGACATTTGGCCACAGGTTCATATTTATGACATTTATGGTATCCGAAGTTCCAATATTTGAGGGGCTGCCACAGGGAGGAGGAAGGGGTCAACCTATTTTCCAAAGCACCCAGAGGTCAGGCAAGGAATAATGGGTGGAAACTGATCAAAGAGAGATTCAACCTGGAAATTAAGTGAAATTTTTCTGACAGTGAGAACCATCAACCCATGGAACAGAAGTTGCCTTCAGAGGTTGTGGGAACTTCATCCCTGGAGGCTTTCAAGAAGAGACTGGATTGCCACCTGTCAGAAATGGTGTAGGGTCTCCTGCTTGGGATGGGGGTTGGACTAGATGAGCTACAAGGTCCATTCCAACTCTATTAATATGTTCATGTGAACCCCTGGAAAGCAAAGTCAACGAGGAAGCCAGATTCATTTAACAACTGTGTACTAACTTAACAACTGCAGTGATTCACTTAACAATCGTGTCAAGAAAGGTGGTAAAATGAAGCAAAACTCATGTAACAATTGTCTTGCTTGGCAACAGAAATTTTGGGTCAATTGGCGGCCTTAAGTCGAGGACTACCTGTACTTAATCAGACTTCCGCAGCTGTTATATTTTCATAGAGAACATCTGACTTTTTTTGACTCACTTGATCCCATTAACTATTTCTAACCTGTCAATGTTTTCCTGCAGGGTTGTATTCATGTGCAAGTATTTTCAAGAAAGCGTGCGGGAACTCTCGGTCAGTTATTACAACATTCTTCGAAGACACAATTATGTCACCCCCACATCCTACTTGGAGTTAATTCTGACTTTCAAAACCCTGCTCAACAACAAAAGGCATGAAGTGGACATGATGAGAAACCGCTACCTTGTAGGCCTCCAAAAACTCGACTTTGCAGCTTCACAAGTACGTTTGGGCTTGGATTACTAGCAAAGGAATATGAAGTGATGGGATTTTTTTTTTCCAGAAGCCAAGATTTGTAGCTTACTCTGGTTGCCTAGATAGTTTGCTCCCACTTTTCATTCTTCCTGTAAACAAGTTAAAGAAATCAGGAAGGGCAGTTTATTGGGACCTGGGATTGTAGCACTGCCCACTCACTCACTCACCCACCCATCCATTATCATCTATCTATCATCCATCCATCCATCCTTCCATCATTTATCTTTCTTTCCATCCGCCCATCCATCCATTATCATCTGTCTGTCTGTCTGTCCGTCAATCCACCCACCCATCCATCAATTTTTCCATCCATCCACCCACCCAATCCATCCATCTATCAATTACCACCTGTCTATCTATCATCCATCTTTCCATAATATCTTTCTATCCATCCACCCATCCACCTACCCATCTTTCCATCATTTCTTTCTGTCCATCCATCCATTTTTCCAACCACCCACCCGTCCATCTATCCATTATCACCTATCTATCTATCTATCTATCTATCTATCTATCTATCTATCTATCTATCTATCTAT